TCTTCGAGCAGATTACGGGGCGCTACACAGTCTGCTCGTTCCAATGACATGGAAGACATTTAGTTGTTTTAAATCACAAATCATAAGCAAAACAAATTGCCCCAGTGGGTGAATTAATAGTATTGCTGTTTTGCTGAGGCTATGCCTCAATAAATAGGCATACAACAGTGATTTTACTGTTACTTTATTGTGAAGACCTATTATCAACCCTTTGATTTGGCACACACACAAAGCACACGAGTTTATATAGCTGATTGAGCACGCAGCTGTTCCCGTATGATTTATGACTTTAAACCAATGAAATTTGATTGTGTTTTTGGGAACAAAAAACGAATAAATAAATCCATCTTAAAACATACACTTGGAAGAACTGCGACGCGGCAGCATTGTTTGGTAAGGGAGAAAAAACCTCGGGTGAGACCCCGATTCCCGGTAGCCCCAGCGGAGGCATTTGGGCAACCTCAGATGTGAATTGAAGTGACATGACCTGTTTTAGGGCGGCCTCATTCGGCTGTGCAAAGACGGGCGCGTGCAACACTTCTGGAGTGGTTGTGGGCTGCTGAGGGAAGACGTTCGCAACTCCCGTTACCGTTGGCAGGCTGTTGCCTAGACCGTTTGGTAAGGCAGTCCCTGATACTGCTGCCGAGGCCAGAAGGGCATTCAACCTGGCGAAAGTAGCCGAGAAGGTTGAAATGAATTGTAGAAAATGAACTTTTTCCTACTATAGACTGATCGAAGAAAGATTAGCGCACATTTTAACAAACGGTTTGTAGGCATGCTGTTGAAAAAGCCAAATGATGGCAGCATTGGGGAGATGCTTTGTCCACAAAATGAATAAAGGAAAAATTTTATCAGAGGTCTCGAATCGGTCGATCAAATTCACTCACAAAAATTGCATCTAAATAATGAATTTGGGAAGTAAAGTTTGTACCAGCGAAAAAGCAAAAATGCATAAGATTGACGCAATGTATGAACTTAAAAATGGCGATCTTCAAAAGTACTTGTGCTTTAATCAAGAAAGAGAAATTAACAAAAACGGTGACCCAATAAGCTTTACGATTTTTTGAGGAAGCTTAATAAGCGTGGATAGCTGGTTAAAAGATTTATGGTTGTTGAGTAAATAGTTATCAAAAGCAATAAAGGAACAACTTAGCCCTAGTCAGTCCTATTTTTTAGTTGACTAGCCTACTATTCGTCGTCCTCTCATCCTACCCGAAGATTTTCACGGCTTTATTGGATGTACGGCGCGATTTCCTCCCAAACGATCCAATGGTTCAGTCGTGGTTGTAGGTGTAAACTATTTGTCGCACTGCTCGCCACAAAATGTTGATATTCGTACACCAATTCCAACTTAGCCTAACCAATGGATGCCCAATTTTCCCTTCCTCGGCATGAATGGGTCTATATGAACGTGAGTCGTCCACATTTGAGTGGTGTGTCATCCGAATGAATGCTCTTTTGAAGCATTTCAACCCAGTACGTTCTCTTACCGCATCTCTTCCAAATGCCATGTAGGAAGCTCCGTCAGAGGCACGCTCACCTTTGCAATGGGGTTGTATAATATTGCAGACAGGCTCGGACCCCATCCATACCCACCGGGTCCGTTCACTCGATATTTTGCGATATGGGAATTTTAAAGAAGAGGAAGGCATACAAAATACGTGGAGAAAGCCAGTTACAATTACTTCTCAGAATTTTATAACTCATGGATACAAGCAATCACACTCATTTTAGATGTGCCTATAAGCAATGGTATAACGAAAACCATCCGGACTTTTGATCACCTGGTGTGAAGTAGTTAAATGAAAATAAGATAGGTCGAAAAAAAACCGTAGAGGCACCACCAACCGTGGAAAGTCTCAATCACATAGATGAAAATAGTAAAAGGGGAAAACTGTTAGGTGATCTTCTCTTAGCGATTAAATTATTCCACGAGAACACTGAGTCATGGTGCTAATTCATTCCTCTACCGGAAAATAAAACTTTTAGCGGCGAATAGGATGTCACTAAGAAATTTTGATCAAAATTACTTTATTTCGATCCAGGACAATTTTGTTGTTAAGGTATCAACGATCTGTGAATAAACTTAAATTCTGATGTCATCCTAGGAGGTAAAAATAATGCGACGATGATATCCGCTTGCTTATAAAGAAACACTTTTTGTTTAACTTTGTAGAAAAGATGGTAGAACATTAACGATTCAAAACGGTTTAACGATGTTTTTTGAGAAAACGAACCACACTTGAAATGTTAGTGTTAATCGTAAGTTACCCCACGATTCCAAATGAGCTTCAACCAAAAACATAAAGTAGACATGATAAAGATAAAGTATGTTAACTCTATATGCCAATTTATTGCAATAACAATCATGCTGTTTTGGTTATTGCAAAAAAGTGCATCCGTCAGACATCTCGACCGGAATTGCGAAAGTGATGTGAAATCGTGATACCTATTGTCAACTTTGATTTCACTTTGACGCGTTAATTAGGTGAATAAATCAGGTTTCGAAGATGTAATGCACATGCTCCAGAAATGGATGCTCAAGAGTGGACTTACCTAGCCTGATCTAGAAGTTGAAGAGTGGCTGCTGATTGGTGCGGGGAGTCGGGAAGCTGGGACAAAGGCGACGTCGTCAGAGGCTTAATGCCACCTTTCGAACTGCACTCGCCCAGTGGATTGTATCTGCGAATTGGGGAAAATTCAAAAGTACAATCTTCTGGGTGCATTGCTGGGTCACACTGCTTGTGTAAAAGACTGACTTCGTAAGCGGCCCATGACATGGACTCCGCTACCGCCCTCCTCTTCCTTCTAGGGGTTCCCAATATAGTCACCTCCAGGACTGTAAAACTTGCAGCACCTTGAGAGATAACTCGGACGCTATGCCTTTATAAATTACGGCAGTTAGTCATGTGAAAAACTGTCCTCATACTAACTTTACAGTTGGCTGAAAGACAAGCTGCAGTCATAAACTAAAGTATTTGTTTGAATAACACTATGATGCATAAACCATCGGCCTTGTGCACGCATAAAACAGAAGGTGGAGTACCGTGGCTGTATAACGGATGCGGGATATAGTGCCTCTTAGAGTTACCCTATGGTAGCCAGACCTAAATTTGAAAAGAAATGGGGAATGAATAAATATGTTTCGTTTGTAAGCCAAGAAGGCTTTTGTTTACGAATTCCACGTAACCCTGATCTGCCTCAGAAAATACACAGGGCCGACAATCACAAAGAGCATACTTGAGTGGTGGGTTAGTGTTGGTGCATTAAACCGCGACAAATTTTAAATTAACAAACTAATAATAATAAACCCTTCTGAATAACCGTCTTATTTACAGTTGAGAAGCCTGTAAATGAACACATTATGGCTTGGATTTGAAGGGTACAGACTCAAAATTGGGTAAAAAATACACGTTATATTATCAAGATTCTAGCTTAATAAGATCTGGGAAGTGGTGATTGCAATTTCGGTAAATAATCTTGCCTGGGATGAAGAACTAACTCGTCATGGTTATACACGCCTGTGCCAGCACGATTCAGTACCCTGTTGATACCTCGTGCCAAGATTGTGATAAAAACATCGCAAAAATGTTTAGAAGATGAGCGCTAACCTCATTTTCAACGAAGAAGCAGTTGCGGACTGCACGGGACCACCAGCAAAGCCAGAATTCTTCCAGCTAACCCGTTGCAAAGGCAGCACCGAGGGAGGATTCGCTGCGGGGTGGTAGCTCAAATCCGCATTCTGTAGCCACGCCACCTGCTGCTCCTGCTGCTGGCGTCGAAAATTCGCAGCAGCCACTAATGCAGCCATCAAATGTCGATTGGAGAACTCGGAGAACTGAGTACCACCCACATTTGCTACTTGCGGCGTTGGAACAGCAAGCAAAGAGGCTGTGGCGGCCACGGTTGCTGCCGCTAAACCGGCAGCATCGAGCTGGGCCAATGCAGTGGCCGGTGGCAGGAGGCTGGCCAGCAGGCGTGTGGAACTGGGACAGCTAGCGAATTTGACTGTAATCGGCTCACTACTGCCTGGAATTCGGTAGCCGTTCAACTCCTGAATTGCAGCCTCAGCCTCGGAACGTTGGTCAAATCGAATGAAGCCTACTCCCTTCGACGAGCCTAGAAGAAGTGTTGCCCTTTTTACAGCCATAACAACTAGCAATAGAATTAAGTAACTATTTGAGCATCAAGTCACTGCTACCAGATGCACCAGATGCATCAAAGAGGACTCAAACTTCTGGCCATTTTAGAGTCATTGAATGCTGTTAACTATTTCAGAGACCGAAACCATTTTGATGTTGCACAAATTATAATTATTTGGGTACATTCCTAGACTTGGTATTTTATCATGGCTTGCGAAAGTGCTATACCTCAGTGTCGAATGCACCGAATTGCTGAGTTGAATGGCTAAGATAAACCCGCCAAATTTGGGTCATTCAGGAAAGAATTCATCACCTTCCAAATATTCTTTAGTAATAAAGGCCTATTTATGCTGTAAACAATGAGAAGACTTGGTGATGAAATCAGTGACCCATAAAGACATTTCCTATCATTAATTCTTCCTTCAAAACCGTGTTTATATTCTGTAGAAACTCGAAAATTCGGATAAATTATATCTTAAGCAGTCTTAGGTAACTTTTATTCGTAAATTGTTGCTAGATATGGAGCTAGTTGTCATGTATTGCAAAAATAATGTAATGTGTTAACTCTTTGTTCAACTCTTGGTTTCGGTAATGGGTATTTAGGGGCTCTGGCATTGTAACCCTCCCCAACGGAAGGACCTAGCCTCAGAGTCGTGCTAGTAGCTCTAATCCCTACCATTCGTCGATAATACATATTTTGCTTTGGTATCATGGAATCTTTCTTCATCGGGGAAGTCTCGGAGAGCTACATTGGTGGCGACAGAAAGCAAACCCGATCCTGAGGGACAACTGTCCCATTTTCCACTGCTATGCGATAAAAATTAGCTGGGCAGCAGAAGTGTACATGCTGCGGATAGAAGAATATGTGATGACCCATAACAGAAGGTAGGAAAGTGACGTCAGTCTTCAGCAATTACCCCAGTCATTTGGTCTGCAGGAATGCTATTAACAACTGAAGCAACACTAGCTGTGAACAATCTGGGAAAGTTTGTTATGCAGCTGTCCCCTGTACTTGTATGAAGTTATCGATTATGTGATCAAGCGATACCCCTTCCAATTCCCTTCTAGCTGGATGGAACCGTGGTAGACATGGCTAGACAGCTCCAAAGTGAGAACAATGAGGTAAGGAGGAATAGACGCGAAAACTTGTCCCCAAGGAACTGTGCTCAACCTTGTCCTTTATTATATGACTCGGCTGTTGGGCCAGTATTCTTCCAACTGGCGACGGGCATGCTTGATGGGCAGGATGTTTCATCGGCCCCTCCCTCCCCCCCTGTCAATGCAGTTTCCATACAGTTGGAAACTCCTGTATTAACAAGAGGAGTCAGTGACGTTGCGGTCGAGCATCTCCTCATTTGCATGGAAATACAATGACTGGCACAGATGGCTGGTGGGTGTTTCTCTTGTATCATCGATTACGCTGTGACGGCTGACGCGGGAGGTTGACCAAGAGGAGTGGTGCTATGCAATACGTTACTTGCTTGTTTAACTCCAGGTTTTGGTGATAGGATACTTGGGAACTCCGTTTTCTGTATCACGATAATCCATATTCTACTCGAGTGTCATGTCTTCTTTAGTTAAGTCTCGAGGCACTGCAGTAGTACTTTCAGGTTTAATCCATTCTCATTCATTACAACTAAGATTGCGAAAAGGATATGCAATTTCCACACGAATTCATTTGTAATAAACAACGTGCATTTTTATGAAGAGAAAAAAAATGAAGCTGCAAGAAAGAAATATGCTCCTGAATTCTCAGTCGGTGGGAAATACCAATCACGTAAATGATAACAGCAAAGTAAAAATAGCGAAAGGATTTCTAAGATTTAATTCCCTAGTATGCCCTTTAAATGTTAAAATTTAGCAAGACAGGTAACCTTAGGTGGTTTTATCAACACAAAATTACCAGTGGTGGGGTCCACCAGTAGACGTGAAGTGATAATTTTCCCACAACGGGAAAATATTTTCTCCAAATCCTCCTGCGAAACGTTCTTCGGCAGACCACAGATGTAGAGATTGGCACCTTTTATTGACTCACTACTGGGGCGAGCGATAGACACCTAAAAGGCCCAAAAAGTACACTGCTACGCCTACATGACTTCTCTTTTTTTGGTTTTAACACTACGTTTTGGGGGTTGTTTTGATAGAAATGAATTATTAATTCCCCTTCAAACAAAAAGGAATAAAAATAATGAAACACCATCCCAAGGATTTCCATGCAAAGTGCAGCAATTGGCTACTTGAAAAGTTGGACATAAAGGGTAGCACAGCTGCTCAATCGAATTAGTGCCTTAGGTTATGGGTATCATGCTTACATAGAACAGAAAACGAAACAAAGCCACGAATGAGGTAGAAATTATAGCAAAATCTGAGGTCTATTCCCATAGGGGGTCAGCACCCAGGCTTAATCACGGTGTCAAAGAGAAGCCTCACATTCTCGGGGTTTCGTGATGAAACCAAAACTGTCATAGGTGCACAATCATGTGACAAGGAAAATTAATTCAGAAGAATATCAAGTTTTTGTTATTGCACAATCAAGGAGTTAACGAGTGACTACGTTTAGTTAGTTCCTGGAATTTGAACATCTAAGGAACTGGAGATCGCGTATAGGCTTCCGCCAATGGCCTGCCAGAATCTCCACGTTGAGCAAAATAGGGCTGGTGCTTGCCTAACGAAGAGGTAGTGTCAGGCAACAATCAGACAATTGCATACATCAAAAAGTGATCACAAAGCAGGGTAGAAGAAGGCTTACAGAAAGACGGGAAGCAAAGTGTGCAAACAGACAAGCGTTTTTACTTTATATTAAGGTGTTAGGAATACCATTACTAATAAAGATTAGTTTTATTATATTTGCCTTCGTCTTCTTCCATTTTTCACAAGGGCAAGTTCAAAAATAAAACTACGCTTTATTAAAACAAATTAGTAACAAGTGGGCACGCAACAACAATAAGGCGCAAATTTACAGCCGAACACTGTTCTGTTCACTTTGGGAATAGCAGTAAAACATATAAATCACGAAAAAACGTTCAGTGTAAAGAAAAACTCAAATGCAACGACAATTGCAGGCAGATAAATTGATAAGTAACAAAAAACATAAAATGGTGAGCTAGGTAAACTCAATGGGCTTGTGGGTGGTGTGAATGACAGTGATAATTTTACTTCAACGTTTTACTTCGCATACCGTCACAGGGTAGATTCAATTCTAAACAGGAAAATGGTACATGAACTTGGATTAGTTTATTTAATGCGAAATCAGCTTCTCTTGTATCTCATTGTCTTTACATGTGGGTATACCTCCATTTATTTTCTCTCCATTTAGTTTAATTTATGAGATGCACCTAAGTGATCCACTGCCTCAATGCTGAAGTGATTACGCTGAGGGCAGGTTGAGAAAGAAATCAAAGATCTTGTTTATATTACATGGTCTCTCCACTGACGGGTGTTTATGGCATGCTCTAAGGTTCAATGTAAATAGTGAACATGCGGAATTGTTTATCAACTCACCTTAATCTTCTTGTTCTTCAGTTGCATTCCATTGAAGTGTTTAATGGCCTTTTCCGCATCCGAGGCGTACGCATAGTTGACGAATCCGTAGCCCAAACTCTGGCCTAGCACCAAAGATAAGCCGTTTTGATGCAACGCTCTGATGGGAACCACTCTACCACTTTCACATGAATTGATCAATTGGCACCTTCTATTTCTAATGTCTTTCTCAAGTACTTCACGCCTTGTAAGTAGAGGTGTACTTAGATAAGCAGCATAAGCAGCGAAAAATAAGGGGAATGAGAGTTTGCTGTACCTAGAATGAGTACGTCATTGGCGTTAAAAAAGTGGGCTAGTTCGTGTATTTCAACATGGTTAATAACAGCCCAAGCTTGCCTTACGTTGTACACCCCGTGATAATGCCCAGGGCAACTGCTAGTGATTGAAGCCAACAGCCGTGTTGTTAATTTAACCTTCTATTAAATGAATTTCTTTTACTACTTTGTAAGGCATTAAGGGCTGTTTGCACCCAAGCACACAAAAGCCTATTTCTAGGCCCGTTCTGTTACAATGAATGTGAGTAAAACATTAAAGAGTCGATGAAAGAAAATCAAAAGAAATGCTTTTTTTCTTTGTATATTGCGAGGCAGGAATTTTATGGAAAGGAATACAATACATGGGTCATGGCTATGCACCAAACAAGTGAACAACATATTCCTCTCCCAAGAATTTTATACAATACAAAGTTTCTCTCCTTTGGCCCAACCTCTAAGGCCAATGTGTCATTTAAGTGTATTGTAACTGAAGTTTTTTGATTTTGGCTGTATTTTTAGCTATGTCTTGTCACTTCGGTGTCGTGCTGTTCCGTCAACAATCCATCAACTCCTCTTTCTATTCAAATTCCAACACCTTTTAACGACTATAATATGGTTACACTCTGTATGTCTTCCGATTAATGCATTGTATGAACTGATAGAAACGAAACCCAATACATTAAATGCTGTTATTTGCTAAAATAAGAACGTGAGAATTACTAACGTAAAAATAATAAAATGAAGGCAGAACTGGTAGCCTTAGTAACCAGCAGATGAATATCACCTTTTATCGCTAAAGTGGACTCACCGGTACTCTTGTCGCGGATCAGTTTGCAGCTTGATACTTTCCCTATGGTATTGAAGAGGGCTCTAATCTCCTCCTGTGTCATACTTTGAGGTAGATAATTAACAATGAGATTTGTCTTATTTTCACTAGCCGTCTCCGCTTTGGTCTGTGCAGATGGAGAAGTCTCCACGTCAAGGGAACTACTCCTTTGACTTTTCTCATTCGACTTGAGTGCCTGACTCGTGCCTGGAGCAAAAGTGATCATTCTGGATACCTAAAATGTCAAAAATCATAGTAGCCTAATGATTAGTTTGTCAAACCGTCTTGATTGAGTTTTGCTCACCACAAGAGCATGATTCCAGTCTCTCAGCTCTTTCGTAAGTCTATGAGAAGGCTGCTTTCAGAAATATGTGACCTATGACGCCTTCGAACGCTTGGAGGTTAAAAAACGAGATGGTAGAGGGTGTATGTGCTCTCTACCAATTTATTGTTAGTGGTTGCAATAAATTCTCCTGCAGTTTTTAGTGCTCAAGCATCGTAAATGCATGAGGTAGCCCACTGGGTTTGTGCAGTTAATCGTAAAAAAAAGACGAAAACTATGAAAATCTTAAAACTTTTTGCTCGAGGAAATAATCACTGAGGCAAATGTGCAGCCCTTTCCCGAGGAGTCGTGTTTGCAAATTCCACTCGCAAAATGTGGCCATTCATTCATTCATTTTTTCCCATTCAATCTAACTAATTGGCAAGTGGTTAATATAATGTCAAGAAAAGGTAATAATAAAATAGAGAAATGCCAGGTGAAAATGAACAAGCTCTGTGGCATGAAGCCCCATAAGAATGGCACTTCCCTCCCAGTAAATTCACGTGTCCAGATTATTTCCCAAAAGGAGTCATGCCTGCCACTTTCGAGTTAAATCAAGCTGTAAGGAATAGATAGGTCCCAGTTGTAATTGTGGCTTGGCCTTCGGTAGGGAAATAATCACGCTTTCAGCCCACCACATTCACTCCCATACGCACAAAGAGCAGGAGGGGAGAGTGGGAGCAGACGCAATCCCAAGGGAAAAATTGATGGGTCCTAGAAGTGCAGATCGAAGCATTGCGTAAAATCACTTAAAGTTAACCAAAGTTTTGTCCATTCGTTCCCTTAATAATTGTTGGAATCCCCACAAAGCCCGTTCCGCGACACGAGTCAGTCAATCGGCAAACAATTTCATTTAAATTGTGCACCTTTTACAGCATAAAGTGAAGGTGTGAAGAAGAGGAAGAAGGAAAGGAGGAAGGAGAGGAAAAGCAACGACAATAGTAACAAATTGGTGATCTTTTTACCTTATTCCCATCTGTCAATGCTTGTCATGTGGCGCCCATTTACTTAACAATATCCACTATTTTCTCTTTCCAGTTGTTGCCTCTACTGCCACTACTGTTGTTGCCGGGGTAAACTGCTTGTCGCATCACTCACATTAAACATCATTGGAAGTTGTGCTTCATACACAGATCTCCAATTATTTTAACCAATGAACGCCCAATCCCTCCCACCTTGTCTTGAATGGGTCTTTCCGGATATGACTCATCCACCTTTGAGTGGTGCGTCACCAAAATAAGCTCTTTTGAACCATTTATGGTCAGTACGTTCTGCTACCCATCTATTCTAAGTGCTATGCAGGAAGTTCCAATAGAGGCTCGAATCACATCCACATCCACCAGATTCATCCAGCCGACACTTTGCGACATTGGGGTCCCAAAGAAGAGGAAAGCGCACAAAATAGGTAGAGCAAGGGAGAGGGTACCGTACCAACATACTGACAATAACATCTCACCACTTTATAATTCAAGCACTCACTTTTTAAGTCCTTTCAAGCTTAAAAAGTCTATGCGGTAAGCTGTACCAAAAAACTGCCCAGACTTTTCGATCAGCCAAGCGAACACATGTTTTGCGGATCGTAGTTTATTTCGATTTAAATGTTTAAGCGGTACAGTATTCTGTGCTATGCTCCCTGTAAAATTCATTTTTACCTTCATATTTTGGTTGCAGATAGTTAGAAAATTATTCCTACGCATGGCATCCTGCGGGATGAACATTGGTAACGTTGGTGCTAATCGGCGGACAATGTTAAGGTGGACATATGTACAGAACGCGGCTGTTGTGTGTTCACAAAAATCACATCTTGTGGCCCCTTGCAAATACTGTCGCTTTACCTAGTCATCGCGTTCGACACATGTGATTACAATAAAGAAAAGGACTCTTAAACTAAAGCAAAATTAAGGTTTTGAATTATTGAATGAATAAAAAGGTACTTTTAGACCAAAATAACTCACTTTATAATGTCATCTTAATCATTGATATGCTACGAATTAAATTGAGAAGCATTTTTGCTGTGACATGGTGGAGGTGACAAAAGGCATTGAGTGCATCGATTCCGTGATGGTCAATCAAGGACGTGCCCTGATGACAGGTCGCACTTTAATCAACTCTTTCGGATCGATAAGTTGGACGTATGGTGGTCGTCACCGCTGCAGCAGTGACCACTGTCCACACGTCAAAATTCGTACTATTTGCAAATTGCGATGAAGCTGTATCGCGATTTTGTTTACAAAGCGATGACAATTCACACACACACGCACACACACAAATACACACACCAAGGAAACAATTAATTAACTCTGACATTTAATAAGGCCCACTTCAACCGATGGCATGATATTTGAAGCAGCGTCTAACATACCGAAGGTAGAAAGTAAGATAATCCGAAAGCTAATCTTAGATACCTCAGCTTTCAGCTATTCGCGTGATAGGAGGATTAAAAGTGTACACTGTAATTAAGCATTTTCAGGGTAAGAAATGTTTGTGGTTGCCAATTGTTTATTAAATAATTTATGAGTGGAAGGTCGGTAAAATGCCGCTTTTACTCCTCCTGTAGTAGATACTAGGTAAATTCAATGGTTAATATACTTTTTACAGTGGTATTCTCTTTGTAGGTATTGAGGGAGATTTGACAGTAAAAAGCAAAACTTTAAAGCCGCTCAAAGTTGTGGAACACAAATTACCACCTCAAAAAAATTGTCACATAAAAGGAAGGCAGCTTTTAAATTCAAAAATTAAACTGTATTACCATACATTATTACCAACTTCTTAGTTAAACAGAGCCGGTAATATTTCGCTCACATTCATGTAAATATTTATAATTGTGAACGGTGAAAGTGGTGGTAGGTGGCAAAGCTATTTTTTACATACAACTAGCTATTGATTGTACCACAAACACTATGGGGCGCAGTAAATGGTATTTAGTTGTTGTTTTTATTGCTACAAGGCACACAGTGCAATATAGCGGAGAAATACACGAGGATAAGCTGCTTTTCTCAATAATTAATTGTGAGAGTTGACGAAGTTAACGTCATAAAGCGGAGAGGAGAAATTGTTAAGCCCATCTTAAAACCGGAATTCCCTACTCCTTAGTCATACTCACCATCCTGCCATTGCTTGTTATGGGCCAGATACAATCCACCAATTAGCCAGTTGTAGACCTGGGCTCTGTCTCCGAATTAATAAGCCAAATACCAAAATTACTCCTCAATAATGAAACATAATTGTTTAGCTCCTAGCAGTGTGACTGTATAAGCCCTTTTGTATAACAAACTTTTCACGGTTGAAAATAAGAGCGAGGATTAATAAAATTATAATAGGTAAATCAGCAGTCTTTTGTATTTTTGGAAGGCTGCAGTTTCTTGCGTACTGGTTAAATTACTCTTAAAAATATTTTTTAATTACCAAACTCTTACGTTTGGCAGAAAGAAGGCACCTTTCTACTGTGCCTGGATCACCAATAGTGCAATTTTTTGGAAAAAAATGGATAAAATATACTGACATCCTACCTTAGAAGGACGGAGAGGGAATTTTTTTCTGTCAATTGAAACTTCAAGCGAGCGACAAATTACTTGACTACGCAGTACATAAAATAGGTGGCAAGAGCTCCATTTACCAATCCACTCCCAGAGATCATATCTCTTCAATGATTGGTCGCTGCTACTCGTTATCCCACCAATCAGCGCGATGGATTCAAAGCATATCCACGCATGCGTAAGTACTTCCGGGGTAGTAATCTGCCACCCGACTGCTGTGCTAGGCGTACTTTTAGAAAAAGAAACTTAGTACTTCACATGACCTCCAGTGGTGGTGTAATTGGTTAAAATGCAACGTTCTTTAAATAACTCTCACTCGCCGGATGAATGTGGACTCTCCTCTTTGCGGCATTGGTGTCAAGTCACACGAGCATTCATTTGCTGTGAGAGAGAAAAGAAGTTTGGTAGAAAATCGGGTGACATTGTGAACTAAAAAAGCTGCTGATGTGAATACGAACAACGTATTTTCGTCCTAAATAAGTGACCAACTTTTACTCTCATTTTCAGCCAATCATAGGTGCAGTGGACCTCAAGTACCAATTTAAAATTATGCATTTGGGAAAATGTTCTTTCCAGTGTTGTTAATTAAATCGAGTTAACTAGAAGGCCAACTCGTTGTTTTGACAAACTAGTAAACAATGCAATTTAGCAGGTACTTCAATTAAAATATTGTGTTTCGATAGCTTATCAACCATTCCGTCTGGTAACTGTTTTCTGTCTTTTTTTAGTTTATGTAAACCTAAATTTCATTGAAATGTAAACTTAACGGACGCGCCATCTGTACAGGGCAAGAGGAATTAAAAAAAGGTGGTGAAGTAGGATGGGCGCCCTCGGTCTTGTTCGGTCAGCCCTCCGTGGTACCCGCAGAAAAGGTGATCAAGACATCGTCGTGGATGTGGGTGGATAACCGTTGAGTAGATGCTCTATTCCTGCAAGGAAGAATAAGGTGCCTTACCTATTTTGAGGCTAAAGCAACCACTTGTGCGCAAGTCGCAATTAGATACCAGCGAAATAATCAAGTTAATGAAATTTTCGTAATTAATGTTACCATTTTATTGCATTTTAGGGAATGATTGATAATTACTTGCCCCACATGATCTCACATCTTTATCTTTGCAGCAATAAACAGCGCACAGTGAAACCCTGGAACAGAAGACAGCCAGACCGCGGTTTTTCGCGAGAGTAATTTGCACCAAATGTTACCAACCGTCAGTGTGGGGGTATTGTGGCGTCGATTTTCAGCCTAAATACTAAAACTCGATTCCAAAACCCCCAAACAACGTTTATATCCGTTAAACTTTGTTGTTTAGCCACAAACATACAAGTATACTTTCCGTCATCAAGTAGTTAAAGCAACCATTGTATGCTTCTGCTAGTCGCAAAAACTCACGAAAATATTGTTAATTTTTTTTGCAGCACAGATAGTCATTTAAAAACACGAATTTTGTGAGGAGCTATGCAGATTTATCATAAGTTCTCGTAAGAGCAAAGAATGTGAAAAATGATGGAACATAACCTACACCTTGCCCAGGTCATTCACATAAATGTCAAATGACGTACTTTAAATATGCTTCATATTATGGCAAAAAACTTGTCCGCTTTTTCAAAAAGTTATCGATGATAGCCATAATCATTCCCCCAAAATTTTGCTTTTACTAAGAATTTGTCGTAGAGATAACACTGGGTCTGGATACCTTCATACAAAAGAAGTCTCGAAGTAACACAGTCGAGTAACTCTCTAATCTGCTAAGAAACAAGGAACAATACAGTTAAGAATTAAACGATTTCACTTCCCCACTGTGCTGACAAACCCGATAAATACATCCCAAACTTACTTGGTAATTAATTCATAAAAAGCACTTTAAATTTGAAAGTGTGTTTTAATTTACTGAATGGAAAGAGGCGCTCCAAAAATTTGTCGGATCACGGAGGGAGAACAAGAGCGATAGCGGCACAGCTTACGCGGCTAAACACTTCCACACTGACCTGTATTGATTGAATTTCTAGCGCCCTTGTGAAATTGATAATCAATATATCAATTGCCTTCCCTTAATGAGGTGGTAATTAGTACTCACTTCCCATCGAAAATCGATAATCTTACGATTGTGGGGCATAGTGTTGCTTTGCGAGGGTGAATTTAAGACATTCTTTCCTACCTTTTAGTGACTGTTAAATGCATTATCTGAAAAGAACAAAATTAAAATAATAAAGTTAGTTTCCTTGTTTATTACCATGTGCAAAAATTAGGTAAAAATTTATGGCTATGGGCTTTTGCATTAAATGATGTCTCTACAACTCAGGAAATGCGAGAAATTAGGGCTAGCAGCGCCTTAACTACCAGCAAAATAAACATAGTTGGTGGATGGTGCAGTAACTGCTGCGCATGCGCACTTGGAGAATAGCGAGCGGTGGAGGAGGCTAATTGCATTAGCCTCATGTCTCAGATGTCTCGCAGGAGATTTGCAGAAGATTGGCACCTGTGAAGCCAACTTTTATCAGTGCCTCAGACATGAAGGTGCCACAGGCAACTGTGCAGCAGGAAGAGGTGGAATTTCTGTGGATGCTTCAAAGTCTGTATCACTATCCGAAAATCACGAATTGAGCTTAGACCTGATTGGTTAGTTCAACTTCAGGTACTCAAAACTAAATTTAAGTAGTTAATCATCTCCAGCAGCTTAATGACAACCGATTTTGGGATATAGTACCTTTAAAGTCGGTAATACATGTTATGCAATTTTTGATATTTGTAAACTTTGGAAGACGAAAGAAGACATAATACTTGGACGGAGTGTGTTGTGTCTAACTGCAGAGGGGTTTTTGAGGCTACTGGTGCGGCCTGGAGGTCAACCCACCGGGCGAAGGTACAGTGACGGAGTAGTAAAAGGGCACTTTTATTAAATTTGAGAGTTAAGCACCAACGCATTATATAGTCTTTCCTTTCTTTTGAGCGTCCTTTCCGACGATCGCCTTAATCAACTGCCTCTGTCAGCCATCACAAGGCATTCGGTGGTGTAGGAAAAGCGCTCACCAGACAACCATGCCAGTCATCGAATTTCCATGTAACTGAGGAGATGACTGACCGCAACGTCACTGATGCCTTTTGGCGATTCTGTTGGATCTGGAGTTGCGTCCTGTGTAAAAACTGAGCTGTAAGATTTGGGACAGCTAGTCGAAGAAGCATTGGCCTACAAGCAGTGTCATGTAACAAAGGACGAGGTTCTAACACAATTCCATGGGGAAATGGATTCGAGCCCATTCCTCCTTACCACGTTGTTCCCGCGTCAGAGCTGTCTAGTCATATCTATCTGGGTTCTATCCAGGTACCGTACCGGTGGACAACTCCTTAACGAACTTTTCCAGATGATTAACTATTGGTGTTACTTCAGTTGTTAATAGCATTCCTGCTGACCACGGCACTGAAGTAGTTGTCTACAGCGGACGTCATTTTCGGCCTTTCTGTTCGAAAACATCACAGATTCTCCCCTCCGCCGCATATGCAATTCATTTGTCCTACTAAGTTTTATCGCACAGTAGTAAAAATCAGGACATTTGTTCTTTACTACCGGGTTCGCTGCCCCACTGCCACCAGTGCAACGCCCCGATACTTCCCTGAAAATAAGAAGAGACAATACTTAGGCAGACTCCTTATTGTTGACCTACAGCAGAGCTTAGAGCTATTGGCAGGGCCCAGAGGTCAGCCCACCCGGCGAAGGTTAATGGCAGAGACCCAAGGTGGCCCTTCTACCAAAACCGAGAACGAAACAGCCAACGTATTACGAAGTAACCCAAAGGGATGGAGAAAAATAAATGTGTTGACTGTAAATGGGGAATGAGCTTAATATGATGTGACATTTACAAAATAGGTTGCTTTTGCGTATAACCCTATGAGTTGCTGGTTAACTCCTTGTCAGGCGAGTGGGTCACTTCAGGAATGTGACAGTCCAGCACGTGAACTATTAAACTATTAAGCAAGTAAATTCGTGCGTAAACTTTCACTTCACCGGATAAAATTAGCCTTAGTGCTACAGCAAAATTTAAATAATCTTGACAGTTGCTAAAAATTAAATGTACAGCAACTGACAATCCAAACGAGCAATATCTGAACATGTAAGACCTTGTCCAGATTATTTATGTGTTCGAAGTGATGTAGAGAAAACAATTCTAGATATGGTGCAGTGTCCTGGCTCCTCCCGATCACGTCCGCAATGCCGCTTAGTTGAATATACAATATAAACAAATGTTGTCACCTCTTTTCTCCTTGTTACCGAAGTCCCCGCAGAAGATCTCCACCTTCAGCGTAAAAATCTTTATGTAGATCATTGTTAGGGGATGCCTACAACCTAAGAAAACGTTCCTGATTTAATTCTCTTGAAGCCTCCTCCTTCTCTTCAAACCTTCTAGAACATCTCAGCATTCGCGACTCCGTTCAATTCCCCTGAATCCACCAACATCACGTTGAGGTAGACTTCAAATGTACTACTGATCACCACCTGGTGCCTTTGGTTGACAGTCAGGAGTTACGCCTGTAGGTTTATTCAGGCTGACATCAAGATATCGATGTTGAAGCCTCTGTCGCCTGATCAATCTGACTAGGGTATCGGATAGGATCCAGGCGCACACACTCACGTAACCGCTGGATCATGACAATTATAACCATCTGAGAAACGGAAACGACGGTGGTGTGATGGATTTGCATCACGGAGAGAGAAGGCTGTCCATTTGAGAGTTACAACCTTATCTCTGTGTCATTGTGTAGAACTTGAAATTTTGGGCTTACCGAAAGTCGGGGCCATTTCAAAACACGTCAGCGATGGGGCGTGACAGCTTCAGTCATTTGCCTATTGACAATCAGTTGACAAAATCAGGAGTCGGATTTCCCTCTGAACCGGATTTGCTTAACTCTGCCATAAAGTCTTCCAAATGGAATGGAAGGATATGGATTCATATTATTGGTAGCGTACAACGGTTTCAGCACATTTATTTTTACACTTCTAGCCATGAACTGCATGAATTTTCAGACATCGAGAACTAGTTACTAATCCCCTAGGTATGATTCAGCACAAAAGCTCAACAGGCAAAAAAATCTGCCCTCCAGTCATTTCCTCGGCCGTGGAAGAGGGGAGGTAAAGTAACATGGAAATACATTTCTTGTTCTTCTGGATTTTGTCGTTTCACCAGATGGTGGAGCAGTCTAGACGTACCATTTTTTGCATCTGATTAAATGCAAAATTAAATCATGGTGATCATTTACCATAGCGGTAAGCTTTTAGGTCCAAGTTAGGCTTCCATCCTGTATTGTAACTATAAAATTGCCTGTGATCTCTCAATCCTTCTCTACAGTATTAATGAGCCTTCTTCCACTATGGTATACCTTGTTGCGTCTTGAAAAATGGCTTAGAGCACTATGTCTTAACAATTAACGCTCTCAGCTTTGTCAGGATGGCATCTGAAGGGCATCTGATATGGATGGTTGGGTGTGCGAAGGCTCAAAGTAAAAGGGTAATCAAAACGCATTTATTTTGTCGGCTTTTCATCTTCGGATTCTGCTCAATGTCCATTAAGGGGACGAGACAAAATTCTAGAGAAGGACTGTTCTCCTGAAGACATGATACCTTCATTCCTTATGTTACCTTTAGGTGGTTAGTCCTACCAAAATCGACCTGTATACAGAGGATAGTAGCTTTGGGAAGGCTTTGACACTCTAGCAATTCATTCCAAACGAAGACATAATGATCAGGAGTCCAAACTAGACCTTCACCATGCATCAAGCGACTGGACTGATACCTTCCAATGGGATTCTAGGTGGCGATTTTTCCGGAACTAGCAATGGTGGCACCGACTAAATGATCTCTAGAGGAATGCGAGTTTATACTTTTTTGGAATCCAAGTTACGATTTGCAGAAGCTGAAAACCATAAGATTATGCAACACGATGATTGTTTGCTTAACACCTTGGATTTGGAAAAGGGGCCACCCGGGTATTTCGCCGCGTGGGTCGGCCTCCAGGCCATGCCAGTGGCCTTGAGTCCTGCTGCATGTCCACAAGAAATATTCTTCCTCAGGATTGTGTCTTCCGTTGCCTTCAGAGAAGACTGAGGGATCTGCACTGCCGATCCTAAAGGACAACTATCCCGATTTTCACCGCTTGGTGGTAAAACATGGCGGAGTGGAAGAAGTGCATATGCTGCGGATGGGAGAACCGGCGACGTCCCAAAACCAGAAGGGTTGAAAATGACGTCTACCTTCGTGAACTACCCCACACCCCTGTCTACCGCAGCTGTCTACCGTTCTTGTATGAGGCTAGAACTCAGACAGATAAGGCTGGATAGCTCTAGGCAAGGCGAAAATAAACACGAAACCTTGTCTCCAAGGTACTGTATTAAACTTCTTCCTTTTCTACGCAACTCCACTTCCAGGCCAATGTTCCTACGGCTAGCTGTGAGCATGCACGATGGCCGGCACATTTCCTCTACTCCTTCTCCCCAACCCCTCACCAATACCATTTCCAAACCTTATACTAGTGCAGACTCAGTAGGATTGCTTTGAGGGATCAGTGACGTTTATGTCGAATATTTTCTCAGTTGCATGGAAATTCGATAACTGCCACGGTTGCCTGGTGGATGCTTTTCTTACAGCAGTGACTACTTTTTGATGGCTGATGCGGGGGTTAACCAAGGGGAGCGCCGGAGGTTACCCACAAAAGAGGAGATAGCCTATGTAATACGTTGGTTGCTTGTTTAACTCCCGGTTTTCTCTATAGGCGCCACTTGAGTGCGCAACCGGGTGGGTTGACCTCCAGGCCACTCCATTAGCCTCCCAAATCATTCTGTAGTTTGACAATACACATTTTGCTTAAGTTTTATATCTTTTTTCGTCTTTAGGTAAGTCTAGAGGCACTGCAATATACCCACATTTTTATACAAATACGCAGATACTACTCAAATGCGGGGACAAAAATAGTGTTAAATTTGACCTTTTGATTACAGGTCAAATAATTTCCCAAATTTGATTGTTTATTTAATAGTTGCACAATATTGATTAAATTGATGTCAGATTATGACATGACATTCCCGTAGACCGGAAATTTAGGCCTCGCTAGCCCCACTTAGACTGAAAACGTCGACACGAATGAATCACCTCGGCGACGTGGATATAAACAGCTCTCCAGGGGGAAGGGATGTTCAAAAAGGTGCTTTCTGTAGACTTCCATTGTTTAATGTAAACAAGAGTTATTTTCCAGCATTTTTGTAGCGGTGAAAAACGTCATCCGAGTTTTTATTAAATCGGAATTGTCAAGATAACTAACCGTTAGGTGATGTAATCATAAATTTGCGGTCTGGATACAGGTAACCAAATAACGAGGTCCATAAACATAAGGTGTTTATACATCATTTTTCGACGAAACGATGAGCCGTAGTGCGTCAAAATGCTTTCATTTCTCGGCTCCGGTAAAGGGGACACTTGGGGGCTCCTCTATTGCACCCATGTCGGACGGCCTGGCCTCCCAAGGCTCATTGTGCCTCCACAATATCAATTCTGACCCAGCGTATGCCTTCTTTGGTCTTCATGGAGGTCTGTGGGTCCTGCATTGGAATAGGCCTAAACAATAAATTGATTAACCACTTTAAAATGAATTAGAATTTTATTCCCTACAACAGCATCACCCCCGTTGCAAGACGTTACTACGGGTTTTGGGAATTAAACTATGGGAATGTTATGGCAAAAGCCAAAAATAATTGGCAAGTGTCTACGCAATATTAATTTTAATTTAAATTACATCCCATAATTTGTGTGATTAAGAGGCATAGGCAATTTTTTCCTTTATTTTGAGAAACAAAAGCAGTGAAACTAGTCGAGACCGGCAGTAAATGTACTTTAATGGAAAATAACTTTTGACTGTGTACAGTAACTATTCAACAAATGTAACCTGTTCATTGAATTAAAACTTGTATTTACCGCTGGGTAGCTAAACATAATAACAGCTTTTTCAATTTTCATGGCACGGCGATTGGATACTTGTTTAAATGACCATTTAACCTCACGTACTGACAGTCTTTCCAATTTGTACTTCCGTTTTGGCATCAAGGCCAAAGGTCATGGCTACAGCCTTGCTGTCCTCCTGTACCATAGTAGTAAGTGCTTTCTTAATAAGCCTCAGAGAAGACTGGAGGGACCAAAATAAACCGCTCAAATACTTTTAAAAATGTGTGCAGTTGGTAGAACAATTTTGTTCAGTCATGAGCACATAAAACTGGTGAATGAAGTGAAGTAAAGGCGTTGTCTTTGGTTTCATGGGGGGCAGTAATGACATTGTAAATTAAAGAACCGGAAAAGTAGTTTATTTTATAAACGCTAAGGCATTGAGATTTTTAAACTATGAGTGAGTCGATTGACTGCATCCCAATGGCAATTTAACTGCTGAAGAAAAATAATTTTGTGTCCTATCAATTGCAAATTCCTCAGTTAGTGATCATATGGGGATCTAGCAGATAGTTTATTGCAGTCGACTTTCACATTATTCTTGCTAAGCCTTTTAAAGGATAAAATTGGTACACTAAATTTTATAGTTTCATTTACGTACTAAACTGTGAAGGGTTAACTGGTTACTTCGCTGCGTTTAAACAAGAAAAAGTTGACTGTCTTGACTGCCAAGTAAACCGTGAATTGCTGAAGTATACTGGCGACACACAGACCAAATTTGATCTACTAGTCATGTATCATCTTGTGTTTCATCCCCTTTTACATACCTAATCAAGAACGACAGAAAAGTATTTTAGGAGCAGTTAATATGTTTTGGGTTCCAAATTCAGTTTAAAAAGTATTGTTAGTAAAGCACCTGGAATTCCAACACAATAAAAACTTTTTTGAATGAATTATTTTTTCGTCTATCTTACAAATAACCGATTGGCGATACCTAGTTTTGAGGCGGGTGCTTGAATCTTAGTGTGTATTCCAATCTCGTTCATAGCATTTGCTGTGCATGAATTTCTAATACATGCGCATGGCAGAGGAACATCCTCCACCTACTCCTACACTAACAGTGGAAGCAATAAAGAATGCCGTGCTTCAGCTGTATTGTCTTGAAGACATGTCCATGGTTGGCAAACTTGGGAGTGGCTTTTACGCAAACGTTTACCTCGTAACTTGCCTTCAATTGCCTATATTTTCAGGTTTATCATCGGCCATCGAAACGCAAATTAGCTCTCAAAATATCTCCTTCTGGAAATATTCAAAGACGTGAAATTGAAATTCTTCGAGGATTGCGACATGAAAATGTGCAGCGGTATGTATACCCACACATTGGCCATTAATGGATTTTTATGAAGGTGTCATAGTGGTTGATTATGCATTCTTTTGATAGAATAGCTCCTGCAATGCGGATTTTTAAACATTTAAACGAATGTTTTGCTTACATTTATTTAAACACATTACATGAATTTGTGACTTTAATTCTGTAGCAGTAAACTGAATCTTGCTATCCTTGGAATAGTTTATCGTGCATTAATTGGTTAAGACGGAATACCTTGTCCAGAATCACCCTGTTTAACCTGCACTTGTTGGTCATATTTGTTTGCGTTGTGTTGTCCTTTGCACCTTTTTCTCTCAAATCCCCTTTGATTTTTCTTCCAGGCTTTATGGTGCATGCATAATTGGTGGGAAATTGGCATGTCTAACGGAAGTGAGTAGCATTACCAATTATTTCCTTGTTGCTTAGCTGGTGGCTCATTTCTTAATGTGGTTCTTTGTTATTATCTTCCTAACTTATCAACACGACTTGCTAACTATGTGGCTTATTGGAATGGATATTTTATAGCATTTTTATGAATTGCATTCATAGTTGCTAAGTCATCCAATTTTTGGAAGTACTCTTCCTCCATGCTTCTCCCATCATTTATCACCGGTTGACTTTGTGCTCACTATTCCTTTCTTGATAATAAAATTTTGCAAGTACTTTTGCCCCCCATATTCCTTCGCGACGTTGGCTCTGTCATTCACCGATGGCTGTGTGTGCTTACTAACACCACGTTTTTTCGCATGCGTTTGTGCAAACCAATCAACCACTTACGACGAATGCCCATCTTCTGAATCATGCTACCTGTAACTTAGTCACTCTCCTAAGGCTGACTGCGCTGTCGGCTTATGCGCTCCTCAACAGCATTTGAGACCTACATGCGGAGTTTCTCATTAGCGTGCCTGGTGATGATGCTCGTAAATAAGTTTTATCAAATGGAAGAAAAATTATTTTATCACACGGACAGGATGCTTCCCGACCAATGTAGTTTGCAATTTCTGACATTGTTTAAAAGTTGACTTGGCCTTCGTCCTGTGAATGTGAGTGAGACCAGTACGAGGGGTTGCGTACCCATTCTTTCCTTCTACTGCATTTACAGCTTCTCCCTTTTCTCCCAGTACGCCAATGGCGGGAGCCTGGTGGATCTCTTGACCGCAAATTCTGCACCCTTGCCATGGAGCTGTCGCGTGAGCCTGGCTTATGACATAACTCAGGGACTGCGTCATCTACACGAAAACCGCCTTATACATCGGGATTTATCTTCACAGGTGCATCTATTTGCCTCTCTTTTGCTGATAACCACTTTCGTCCTAATTAGAGTATTTGCTTGCCAATAGTACCATTGTTTGAAAATTCAAATGTCGTGGTAGTACGCCTCGATGTCAGATAGCAAATCTATTTGACCTCGTAGTACGTTTAATCTTTTTGTGGTTCGTGTCTCCATCCATTTCCTTTCACAATTCGCTGTGGTCGGTTTCAAGTCCTGTTTACATACATTAGCTGTAGACCGGGTTCGCCAGAATACCTCTATTCTTGTCGGAAGTATTAATTCCACTAAATGTATACAATTTTTCTAACCGAAATTTGGTGGTGGCACTTTTATTGAATTCCTTATCATTCAAAACGTCCATTATTTCATTCAAGTCCAAAAAGTATTTTAACGAATCCATTCAAGTGTACATACCCTACGTGTGAAATTTCCGTAGTCTCAATCAAATCCTGTCTGTCAGGGGAAGGCAAATACCATTTCCTCTGCAGTGTGTGTATCTTAACGTAAAACTGTTGAAACGAAAGTGGATGTTCCTAGGTTCGTCATTAGTATTTTGTTTTTTATTTGACGCTTTACTATAACTCTTAAACCTCGTAGTCAGTGCAGAATAATGTTTTATTTCATGATTATCTCTACACTGCTGTGCATTTCGGGTCAGGTACAGTTGTATTATGCGGAAAAATAGGTGATTAGAGCATACGACCACCGATACTTTTCAAGTCAGCTGTTGGCATTGTTGATGAAGGCCCAGGTCTCCGTGATCTCCGTCTCATCCATCGGGATTAATCTTTTGAGGTGGTCTCAACCTGCCTCCCACCGTTTGAAATCAGCATTCCTTTCTGGAATTCTAAATATTCTCGTAGCCGCTATCTCTTTAGTTTGCATCTTACATGAACCGGGTGATGAACATCCTCATTGACCCTACTTTGACCTTCTCGCTTCCTCTTGCGTTCGTTTATCAGGCATCAAGGATTTCAATCCCTTCATCCTACGGAGGACCTTGTGGCAATGAATCCTTATTGTTATTTACTTTTACTTATTAGTTGGAGCTAACTAATTATTTCTACTTTTCTATTAACGAAACTTTATGTTAATTTGTGCGGAAAGGTTTTGGAAAATAACAAATTAAAAACGTTATAATAAAGTGCATCAATGAATTAATTCAGCTGAAACACAGTTAGGCATTTGACTGACTCCAATTTTAGCATTAAATGGTAAAGAGGATTGTGACTGGTGACTTCTCTTATTGTTCTCTTTTTGCCGTTGTAAAATGGGAATTTTTTCACTGTACTACTTCAATAGCGCCTCAGGCGAATGACGGACTTAGCGCATCGCACGAAACTACCAGCATTCCTAGCATTCTTAAACACTTTGTTTCGACAAGGAGGAGGTTCTCGAGTGTTTTGGAATTATTGCAGTTATTTTTCTCTCTCGACCCATCACTATAGCCCTCGAAGCTTTAAATGTGAAGAATCATTTGCCTTTTCTTGCTATTGTCTTCACGCAGTAAGTCCACTGCGCCAAGACCGTGTGATCGCCGACATTCTCTCAAATCTGTCGCCTCTTGTTAAGAAGCATCAAATAGCACCTCCTTCTGGAATTCAAAGCTTTACCATGTCATGGTTTCTCTCACTTGTGATTGTTGGTCGATGACGTTCAGTATGCTGAACTTTCAATTTTGCCACTTCATCAAGCTATACCACGTGTTTCAAGATGAAAATTGCATTAACTTTACTCGCTGCCGCGACATTTTTTTCATGGGTTTTACCGTCACAGTTCTTGTAATACTTTGATGCGTCACTTTCACCCTGCCGTTAGGAGCGTTGACCAGTATGAACTTAGATAAACAATATCTCATGCCAACCTGCCCTAGTACAGTAATGAATCATGCTGACAAATCCGCCCACTTCCACTTTGAACTTTGATACTACCCTAATAAGGACTGTTGATTCTTTACACTTGATGAAATGTTGCTTTAACAGCATGACAGATTTGGTAGGTTGTGAAAGTGAGGAGGAGATTTCTGAATTTAGTGAAAAAATTTTAGTCCTTCTACCTTGGGGCTCTATCACACCTTTAGTGTAATCACATTACTTACTGTCATCATCGTCTTTAATGCTGCACTAGGGGTCACTTTTGTTATGCGGTAAGCAAGCCGTTGACAAGATCACATGATCTCATAAACCCTATATCGTTCATTATTGTTTGTAAAGTTCACAAGCTCGTACTGAGTGTAGTTTTTAAGGCTAGATGACTGTGTTAATAGTAGATGACTTGGTGATTTATAACAGGCTGCATTTATTTTATTTGTCTTTTTGCAAAATTTGCTGACAGCTTTTAAATTCCTCTAACTCCCTAATAAGGTCAAATTCTGAGCGACAAAAAACTTTGGTAAGTTACAAGATCTCGATATTTCAGACAAATAAAGTAAATTCATTCCCTTGTTAACTTTCATTCGGCCTCATCAACATTCAAAACGCCAGTCAGTCATTTTCAATGAGTAGATTGTTGACATTTTAAGCACCATGTGATTTCCAACGCAGATCTCCACAACGGTCTGCTGTGCCTTGTCAAGGCTATCGGTACGACACCCGTTATTGTGACACCTGAACGAGGTCTAACTTGTCCGACCATAACTCCAACCAAAAGCTGCCGAAGTTTCTCAGACCCATTTTTCAAGCACTTCTTTTTGAGAAGATGGACTGTCAGAACACATCGCTAAAAGATTGACTTAGATGGTTTGATAGGTGGTGAGACGCTCAAAGTTAGGTTGATCAAGCTCAGGGAGACCTCTCTCCCTGATAATGAAGAATGACGTGAGCCTTTTGAGGTGTTAGAATAAATTGGGGGCTCTTGTGGTAAGTGATGCCACAATTCGTTTATGCTTGTGTCAAGCGAAAGTCTTGGAGATTGCCAAGTGACTGGATCTCACCCACACGAATCACACATTTTGCTCAAAAACATCCCACGAATTTTAGATTGTTTACTGACCGAGTAGCAGAGACAGACAGATAGCCTCCTAAACCACAATTGCATCACCTTGCCCTACAGACCGCGAACCCCATCCTCCTCTATGTTGCACAATCATTACTTGGCTAGCGTCGCTTAAGGCTGAAGGGTATTTCACACCTAGGATATTTCGCATGAAAACCGCAATGCTTAGGAACTAAACTCACGATGCAAAGGGTTCTGTATGTATTATCTACTTTAGCTTTGTTGATAGCTTAATGCTACGCACCTGCTTGCCACTCAGAGAATCATAGCGCTCTTGGATCTGGTTCTTTAACGCACGTTTTCGAATTCCGAGGTCCATGAGACGTTGATTCAAACATCAGCAGATGATTCCATCTGTGATGTTTAAGTTTGGCATTTACTCCACGAAAGTGGGGTTAATGGCTTTTTGGACTTGAAGGGTGGGCGGGGGGGGGGGGGTCGAAATTTACTTTGTTTACAGCACAGCGCTCTTGTCATGTCTGCTAACATTCAAAAGGCCTGTAATGGTGGAAGAACTCCATGGTCTGAGTTGATGATCTTAGCCGCGGAGACGGTAGAGTCTGCATAAAATTCTACTAAATACCTCCTCT